GATGATAGGAAGATAAAGATGCGAAGAGATAAGTAAAAAGTTGAGTGTGAGTAGATACAAAGTAAATGCAAAGTAAGATTCAGAAAAAAGAGACGAATCATGATAATAATGATATAACATAACCACATTGAGGTAGATGGATTGCCCTTGATACCTAAATTATATTCAAAGATTCAACTTACAATCATCTTAAAGACATTCAACTAGATAGTAATTTATATATCAATTTGAGAATTGGTTCAATATTGTCTTCATTATTATCATGCTTCATCCTCTTCCTCCTCCGCCTCCTCAATTCCCTCACCCTCTTCCTCATCTTCATCTTTCCATCTTCTTGTCTTAACCAAGACTATTATTATTTATTTTAAATAAGACATTTCTCCTTTTCCTCTTCGACCTGAAACTTTGTATCAGAAGTTTTATCCTCTCGCTCACTCTCTCACTCTCTTGCTCCTTTTCTCCCTGTAAACGAACACTTATGTAAGAATAATATTTGGTTTAGAGAACATTATTCTCTCTCTCTCTCATACTTTTCTCTCTCCGGTTAACGATTTTCTATTTTTTCTCTTCATCTTCCTCTATTCTTCTTGACTTTTACTCCCAATATCTTCATGGCAAAAGAGAAATAATCAACAGAATTTGTTTATTCCACATGAATTTCTCATGGGAAAATTATGAGAAAAACTTACTCTTGTGCTTTTATTATTCCATGATGACTTATTAGCATTATTATTGTTTCTCATCATGTTTGTAAAAATATTTGACAATAGAATCAAAATTTTGAGATATTGATGCAAGTTCATTGAAACTGATTCCAAGTTTAAATCATGAAAAACAAAAATCTTACAATACATGGTGACCTCTGAACTATTATTAACATTTACACCAGCAATGATAAATATTGAATATTAATTGATCATGTCAATCTGAGCAATTGACTTTAATCATTGCAATTAATTTTCATCAAAATGAGATAAAGATGATATATCAAACCATTATCATCATTATGGGTTATGGATGATAAACAAAAAAGAAAGATGAAGTTGTTCAGTTTTCCTGAATCATTGATGCAATTGGCTGAACTTTCAGTCAAATGGAAACTTATATTACACGCATCACATTCTGAGCTGAACATGATATTATCTCATCATGGTGTGAATATGAATATGAATTGATTACATGGCGAAACCATTGAAGAAATGAAACTTTCTCAATTTTTACTTAGTTTATGAAACAAAATCAAAAGGTTTCAAATGAAACACTTTGTAATTATTAATAGTAACATGTACACACTCTGAGTATACAGAATTTCAATCTTAAGTTATATTGAACATTTAAAATATCAGCTGATAAATTGATAAACCAAAGTGTTATCTTTATCATTGCTCTGAATGATTAATTTTTATCATTTGAATTTGTAAATCAAGATCATTTGATAAGTAAGCCTGAAAATCAAGTTTTAATCATAAATCTTGATAATTATCAACATCTATTGATGTGCTTTTTTCCCTTTTGTTGCTTTTTTTGTTTTCCTTCCTGATGATTAACTTGGGAATTGTTAACTGATATACTAAACTAAATCACAATCAAGGTTCAGGTTAATCGACCAACTAAATCACTTGGTGGATTTTCATCATTCAACGATAATAATAATATCTCAGTCATTATTATCATTAGCATCTAACAATTTGCTGAGTTTACTGAATAACAAAGTGTTGTAAGTAATAATAATGAAGGAATCACAATTATCATTAACATTATCATCTTCATCTTTATTTGTTTCATTTGTATATTATTATTGATCAACAATCAGTGAGAAAATGGAGGAAAAAAACATATAAATCTACATTTGATTCAATGATATAGTTGGATAAGTTTGTCTTCCCATGAAAATCAATAACAAATCAATTGAATTTCATTAAAAAGATGAGCACATGAAGAAAATGATGATAAGACATTATTGGTATTGGTGATTGTGATGATAATTTTATCATCATCATTTTAATCAACAGGAATGATAAATTCAATCAACAATGTTGACTGATGTTGATTAACTTAACTCTCTAATTGAGATGGTTTATCAACAATATATATATTAATCGTAGATGATAAATAAACTTTCATCAGGTAAACATACGGTGAAAGTTTACTTTCCATGTTGTCTTTTCTATCATCTTCATTGTATCTTCCCCAATGATTATCATCCTAATCATCATCAGCAACATCAACATCTTCTGTAAGTAAAGTCAATCCTCTGATGAGTAGATAAAAAAAACGATTCAATGTAATAACAGAGTGAAAGGGGATGAGTGGTAAAGGATGGAGAAGATGTTGTTGTTGATGATGATGATGATTAGGATGATAGAAGAAGATGAGGAAAACAAGATGAAAGGGAAGATAAGTATGGATCTGTTAAGGGAATCAACAGCAATGATGTTGTTGATGACCATTAGTGTTGGTTAATTCAATCCATTTGACCGATATACGATAGTTTCGACCTACTAATACTTCTGGTTCTTGGTTAGTAACTTTTAACATGATAAAATATTCCCATGAGTTTTCAAAAAAAAGGATACGGAGAGAGAAAGAGAGAGAACTAACCAGAAAAACTTGTTCTATGTGAATTATTTGGCTACTATTATGTTTCATCAGAATTTCCATCATTATCCTCTAGACTTTTAACTTTCCCTTCCTCTCTTATGGTTACATCGAGTTTTGAAAATCAACTGAGCTCTCGGTTGAAACTCACATGATGAAGATACTAATCAGTATGATGATTGACACTGCTAATCATTTGAAATAATTTTATTATTTGAGCTCATTTCCTGGTAAACATTTCAAACTTCCTGGACATGATGAGACATCCATTGAATATAAAAGGTCTGAAAGCCTGAATGCTGATGAATGAGATAATGTTAATACATAGCTTGAGATACTTATTAATATTTGCAAAATACATTGGACATCAAGTTTTTCATGATAAGTTGATGGTAAATATGTAAACAGGTAAAAACGATGTAATCATTTATATTTACTCATTTATCTTTCAAATGATGATTATGATACTGGTTAAAGGATTTAAGGGCGATTTAAACTGATTGTTGTTTGTTGATTGTGATCAAATAATGATGGTTAAGGTTTTCCTTAAGCTGCTCTTATTTTTATCATACATTTATCAATTTATCAGCAACAAGGTAGAAAATAAAATCCAAAGAAAATATTTGTTTTTATTTTCCTTTCACAACTGAATATCCTCAACTATATTGAATGATACGGGTATTAACATTCAATTCAGTGTGTATATTTCATTCACGACGAGTATTTTTAACATGAGAACCAAGTGATACAAGTGATAATACACAAATATCTTTCTTGTTTATCACCTGTCAACATGATAAAATTCAATTCGATTTACTGATTAGTTCCAAATCGAAAGTTCTGCCAGTTTAAACATTCATGATAGAAAAATATATCTATTTACTTATCGTTTATACGATTTACTATTTACGAATTAGATGAAATCAATTCATGATCAATATTAGAATCGTCATGAAATTTTTGCTTCTTTTACAAGAAACAAAGGTTTCCCCATTTCATATGGACATTATTCACCTCGTATTAATAATAATCTTACATTTATAAAGGGCTCAGCTGATAATATGATTATCATTATCATTGAGTATCCAAGTTGCATATGATTGAGATTAAAAAGTTTAACCAGATTAAACTCTCATTTGAATGTGATTACATGTCTAAGATTTCATTGTTTACATTAAAGATTAACATGATTGTGATTAAGATTATAACCATGATAATTTCACTGGATTAGTGAACCAGTTTAATTTCATCAATCTTTTGTTATCTTGACTGATTTTGTTTCCAGGATTTAATGTATTCTTTTACTGTTACTTTTTGTGGGCTCATTAATCTTACAAGTTAACCAACTGTTAATCTTTGCTAATCCTCTTTAATATTGGTGACTACTTATGATACTTTTAACCAAAGTTAATCCATTTACAAACCTTAGTCTTAATCCAAACTGAATTATCACCTTTAATGTATTAAAAGTATCATGATGATGATCAATATTTGACCTGGTTAATATTATTCATTTTCATATTAATATCAGGGATTCAATGTTATTTCAAAGAGATGAAAGAAAAAGTCATTTCTGAAAAATCATACATTCTGATTTTGATGTCCAGTTAATTGTCAAATTAATTACAGGAAATGTCAGTAATCAAATGGCTAATTGTTGTTGATTATTAGTTTTAATTCATTTTGATTGAGGAAAAGTTTTCACCTTTTTTCATGGTTTAAGGTCCGAAAATCCAATTGTGAAAACGTAATTAAATCAGTGATAACTCATTAGTAATAACCAAATAATAATATGAAAAGTACATTAAATTTTTTCCCTCGTCAATCAGAAATTTATGATTAATTCAGTGAATGACGATTATCATGATAATTTTGATGAAATATTAAACAAGGTGAGAGAAGTAGTAATTCAGTTAGCATAGAGAAAATTTTTGTTCTTTTGAACTTTTTTTCTCTCCAACTGTAAGTACTAATCTTGTGGATGCATTATCACAAATGACTGTTAATTAAATGAAATGAACAAATCATGTTGTTAATAAATTTTATGTTCAATGAGAATAAAATTCATCACCATTTTCATGATAAACTTACGCCAGAATCAAGTTAATCTTGTTTTCTAAGCAATAACTCATTTCGATTGAACAAATATTTTGAGACAAATTTTAAGTTTTTTTTTCTTCTATCAATGGTTTATCTAATAATCCAATTCAATTTGAAGGAAAATATATTATTATCTGAATATTATCTTGTTGAATCATCAATTACACAATAAAACTGAAAGAGAGAGGAAAACGATTATCAGAATTTTCATTTTGGAAAAACTCTAATCTTTTATCAATCATTTCGGATAAAAAACGAATGGATTTAGTTGTTAATCTACATTTTTTTCTCTCTATTCATAGTAATCAAGGAAGATTATTCAATACAAAGCTCTGACGAATTCGTGATAATGGGAAACTCAGGCCTTCTCCCATGTACCATTCCTCCAATGGTGAAAGATTTCGTAAAAGTGATACATTGGCAACGAAGTGATGGATTGATTATTACAGGGAATCATAATCTTCCCTCATCAGGTGAGAATAATATTGATCAGTATTATCGGAATTTTAGGTTATACTCTATGGCAGCGAATTCATTCAATCGACGAAAAAAAAGAGTTCAAGTTCTTGTGCACATTTGATGAACATAACGATGAGAAGTAACATCGAGTGGATAAGATATCAAGTAAAAAAGAAAGAGAAAGTCCAAGAATGATAATGATTCTCATGAAAGAGCAATGATTTCTGAAGTATTTTTCCCACAGAATTGATGTCAACATCTCGACTTTTGATCTTTCACTTTTGATGATGGATATGAAAAAGCATCATCACCATTATGAGATAGATGTAGCAAAAAAAAGTTCTGTGGAAAAGTCAGAAAGTGAGAGAAAAAAATTCCCAACAAAAAAAAGAAATATATAAAAAAAAAGTTTTCTTTCGATAAAAACATGAGGCTAGTTACTGAAAAAGCTACTTACAAAATCATGATGATGGTTCATGTTACTTTTGATGATCATAGCGATGATGATGATGGTAACAGTGCGATTAGTTTAAGCATCTTCGAGTGTTTTTTTATGAGTGTTGCTGTTTTTGGGTGTTGCTCACTTGATGGATGATTGTAATCATGATATCAACAACAATCTTTAACAAATCAACTCTAAGTTTCATGCTACTTCAATGCATGAACATTGAAATACTTTTCAAGAACAATTGGAACAAGAAGAAGTCAAGAAAAAGGAAAGTGTAACTCGAACAGTTTTCAAATGCCTATTGATTCAACATTAACTTTTTTCTTATTTATTTCGATTTCGCAAGTTATTACTCTGCAAAAGGCTCGAATAAGTGCTCTAAAAGAAATAAGAAACGATCTCAACGAAAAAAATTTCAACTAAAAGGCCGAAAAAAGTTGAAATAGCTGTTCAAACTTTTCTAGACCATACTAAAGTCAGAATGGTATCAGAAAAATTTTCGAAAAGTTTTTTTGTTGACAACTATTATGTCCTCTTTGTATGCATCCACTGAATATATTCCAGTACATATACTGAATTGCTATATGTTATTGGTATGAAGATTTCAATGTCCCGATAACTTGACAAGCATAAAAAATAATCAATCATATCAACATACACTTTCACTAGTAATCGCATCATTTTTTACACTTCATTCATATCAGAATCTCCAACTTCATGTAAAAGGTTAACTGTATATGTATGAAACAACTCAGAGAGAGAGAGAGAGAGAGAGAGAGAGAGAGAGAGAGAGAGAGAGAGAGAGAGAGAGAGAGTTGAAAATCTAATTTACACTATTGAGCAATCTCAAGATTGACAAAATTAAGATAAAATCGGAATTTCCATGTGATTGAATGGGAAAATTAAATCATCATGTGATGTTCATGATAAGGGTAGAGAAAGAAAATGAGAGAGGAAAACAACTTGAGCTACATTAGCTAAATTGGAAATCAGAATTAGGAAAAATAATAATGGAAAAAGTGAGCAAATGAAATTCAGCAACAATGGAAATAATTTCGTTCTCAATTTATACTAATTAAAATCTTCACAATATTGAATGCAAATTGAATTGAAATAAATGCTCCAAATTAGTTTTAATCTGATTTGATTGTATAACTTTCAAACTCCTTTATTGATCATTCAAGTCACAGAATTCAACTGAAACTTCAGATACTATTGATTCAGATTATTCTTGATTACAATAAATGCAAAATGCTATAATGTTGTTACAACAATTTCACATGATGAATCTGATAATCAGAGTAGTAGAAAATAATATTATCTTGAATAATAATAATAATAATGCTAAGATATGTTCAGTTTACCGTTTGGATTTTGCTGAGAGAATTCAAATTCTGTTGTTACCTTTACTTAAAATTAGAAAAATGTATTCGATCATCATCATAATGCTAATGTTTAATAATAATAATTCATTGAGATTGGGAATTTGAGGAAGAGAAAAAAGAAAGTGGAAATATTGTAACTTATTCAATTCTATTAGACTCTGATTCTTATCTGAATTCATGATGGAAAACAAAAGCTAATTCTCATAAGTATTCACCATGAAAAGTCACTTGAACAGTTTGATATTTTTTCGTATTTCGCATGGAAAAGATGAAGTAGGGAAATAAAGGAAAATAGAGAAAGATGATGATGATGATGAGAAAGTGGGTGGTGAATGGAACAGAGTCACATGTAAATCACTCCAAGAATTTAGAGATAAAAGAAAAATGTAGAAAGTGTAGAAATAAAATGTTCTAAGGAGAAAATTTTTTGCATGTTCTAACTTATGTTGTAACCATCACCATCATCATCAAGATAAAGTGTTTACCATTTGTATCTTTTTTCTTCATCTTCATCCTTTTTATCCTCTCATCTTGATCCTCATCTTCATCTTTCCAACTTTTTTCTCCTCCTCGAATCAATTGGTTATATATTTATATTTATATTTGTTTCCTTTTGTTTCATATTTGATTTTCTATTGTTGATGCTTTAAGCTCAAAGATTCAAACTTTCTCTCCTCGAGTTCTAGAACTTTTTTTTTCTCTTTTCTATTCGTGGTGGTAAAACATTAAGAACTTAAGTAACAAAATCCATCAACATGAGCGAAGACACACCAAAGTGTTCAATTGTTTTGCTTCTGTTACCTCAATTTAGATTCTCAAGTGAAACCATTAAAATTGACTTTTCCTTTTTCTGAATGTCGATTTGTTTTCTTTCAGCCTCATTGCCGAATTCCGGAATAGAAAAAAAGAGAACAGAAAAAAAACAAATTCGATGTTATTTGAACATTTGCGAATTTTACTCATAAGCCTCATGATGATTTATCTCATAATTTTTTCTCCTTTTTTCTTACTCTCTCCCTCTTCAGAATCAATGAATCTTCTTGATGATGGATCACTTTTATTCGATAAAGTTTCACTTGATGATACTCGGTGGAAATATCGATGTACAGTTAAGGACAAAATAACTGGTGAACAAATTAACAGTTTAACTTGGTCCAAACTCGTAGTTACAGGCAAGTTATCAATGGAATATATTTCTTCAACTGTTTCAATCCAAATGAGTTCCCTTTTCACTCAGTTTTATTATTATTATTTTCACTTGAAACGATTAACAATGAATATCAAGTTAATCATGATTGAATTTTACTCTCTATTCCAAATCCTACTGATTGTTATGCATTTTATATTGATGATAAATTTATGGACATGATTCACTACGATTAAATGAAGAGTGAATTACTCTTGACCGGATATGATGGTGACTTGATCATCATGATTCATTTTCCCTATTCATACTTATTGTATGGACTCATTATTATATAAAGGATATCATTCATTTCTGTTCCCCTTGATTCTTACTCAATTGAAATGATATCATTGACAATGATAATGTTATTAATAAGGTTAATCATTGTAATAATAATCATAACAATGATCATCATTATCGTCACCATTTAATGTGCTAAGGATGAGGATGAAACTCTCCATCATTCTCATGGAGAGAGATCTGGAAAGTTGTATCTCTCTTTCCAATGGAGATGGTAATATAATCGTTGATTGGAAATATTTTCACTTGAAATGATAAATATATTTTTTCATGATGATCCCTTATTGAGGTGATGATGGCTCACTTCCGGTTCATTTCATTGAACCTGCTTCCTTTGAAATAACTCTAACCAACCAAATGACCAAAAGTTGACACGAAAAAACAACAGTTATCTTGGTAATAATATTGAATAGTCACTATTAGCATCATTGTTATCATGAAGCTAATGGGCAACTGATAATATACTTTATCATGAAAAGAGAAGAAAAAAATTTCGACTTCATCTTCTTCCGTAATATAAAGTAGAGTGACAAATAATGAGAGAGAGAGAGAGAGAGAGAGAAAAAAAGGTTCTTGAAGGCAAAAGAAATGGAAGGAAGAAAAAAAGATGAGATGATGACAAAACATCGAGGACAGTGGTGGGCGAATTGGGTGGGAAGATGAAAAAAAAGAGAAGGAGAATTGCAGAACTTTCAGTTTTTCCTTCACCAGGACAAATTCCGAACATTTTTTTATCCAAAAGTTTCGAATCGTGATGATATATCCAAGCTTATCTTCTTTACGAGGAGGTGGAGTAAAGATTTTGTCTCAATGATACTCATGATTTTTGAAAGGATAATGATGATAACCAGGGTAACATTCAATATTTTAAGCTGAGAATTGAGATGAAAAAAATACTAATTCTTTATCACTGAGTGAGCTGCATGAAAGAAAGTAAGAGCATCTCAAGGAAGATGATATTAAGTTTATGCCAATGGAAAATGAAACAAGATGAGATGAGAACTTTCAGAATGGAATAAAAAGAAATTCAGTTCCATGGAAAAAGAAGATATATTCTTGACAGAATAGAGAAGAAAAAAACTTTCCCTTTTCATATATCAGATAATTTTCTCTTTTCTTTTTCCCTCATCCTTATCATTCCTTTTCAAATACATTCCTTTTCATCCAACACTCAGCATCTTCATATTAAATAAGTTATCTTCATCTTCTTCATCTTCTTCATCCAGATCATCTCATCTTTCACCAATTTTTCACAACAAGAGACAAGAATAACATTTTAATAGTAATTGTTGACTCAATTTCCAAAAACTACCAATCGAAATGCTTAAAGGGTTATTCAGTCGACGATGCTAACAAATCTCTCTCCCTCTCTCATTAAAACTAAATACAAAATAATCAATTTTCTTCCTGTAAACATGATAATAATCTGTAGGATTAATTGTGAATTTAGATTAAAATTTTTCAGCTCCAATTGTTTGTTGCAGTTTTAATTAAAACTGCAACAAGAAAATTAGATGTACACTTCATTAGATAATCCATTGAATCTTGTTTCTAGTTATTATTTGGATTCATTAACAGTTAATCATCATCTCTTAATAATAACTTGAACAAAGTTCTGGTTGAATTATTAACTTTCTCCATGATGATTATCATCAACACCATGAAAAGTGATGATAAACATGAGATATATTAATATCATAATCAGGGTGAAACTTTTGTTCATCTGGAAAGTTAATAAAGTTTCAAGTTAATAATATTTCATATTGTTATTATTTCTCTGTGGCTTCCAATGGATTTAATATGTTCACATGAGAAACTAATATCCAAAATTCTTGACCAATAAACAACTGACCGAGAATATTAATCATAACCATCATAATCATCATCATATTAACAATAACCATTAGTATTAATACTTGATCTTTATGGTGTTTTTGTTTCCCATCAGTATTGTTTAAATGTATTAGATGATTTCAATCAAGTCAGAACTTTGTTTTTTATTCACATTGATTAATTAAATTGTATAATCAATTTCGCATCCTTAATTGTGTAATTAATTAATTCAATGGCTCGAAAATTAAGACTTTTAGTAGTCATACAAAGAGAAGCTCTAAATCAACCAATGAATAAAAAACTTGTTGATAAAATTTTCTCTATAAGATTCATTGTTGTTCATTTTGATGAATCAGTAAAATGATTAATTCTGATGAAGTGATTGTTAATATCATCATGATAATAGAGTTGTTAATGTTTTATCAATTATTCATAATGATGATAGAGAAGGAGAATTCTGCAAATTCTTGTTCAAGATCATTAAAAAGCATTTGAATATATGATCATGATCATTATTATATTAGAATTCAAAAAAAGACTGAGTATGAATGCTCAATAAGTCAAGAAAAGAAGAGAGAGAAAGAAAGAGAGATAAATGCTTATTCAATTGGTAATAATTGTTCAGAATCTTATAGAACTTTGATCAGAACTTTTAGAAAAAAAATGAATATCTTTTTTTGTACTTTTGCAATTGAAATATTCCAATGAACATTGAAATAACACGAGGGTCAACCATTTTGAATACCACCGAATATATAAAACCATGTTTTTCCTGATCTTAAATCATGATGGCATCTATTGAACTCTGTGATACATAAATACACTTTTACCTGGATTCCTTCAACATCGGAAAGATAATAATAGATTAGGTTTACTTGTATACCTTTTACCAATATTTATCATGAGTATTAATATTAACTATCATGTAATATGTAGTTGAAGATGTATTTTTGTATTACTCTCAATTTCAGCATGATGGCAGCTGTCTGGGAGTAAGCATGAGGAATGGAAATACATTATCATGAAGATGATGATAATGATCCGGATGATGATGAGAAAGGATTTTGAAAAGATGCAGATAACTCAGAATTCATAGATTTCACTCTCTCTCTCTCTCTCTCTCTCTCTCTCTCTCTCTCTCTCTCTCTCTCTCTCTCTCTCTCTAAGTAATGCATACCTTTTCCTCTTCCTCTTTATCATCTTTATCTTTTTTCATCTTATTATTATCTCTTTTTATTCAGAAATTCTTATCTGATTTTTACTCCTTCATCGTTTCCTTTTCTTTTCCATTATTATTATCATTGTTGTTGTTGATCTTTGATCATTTTGATGCTTACTTTTTCATTCAATACTAATTTCATGCTTTTCATCATGAGAATAATGAAGATATTATCATAGATTCTTTACAATTTCTTTTCATGTTACTCACCTTTTTTTTATTCTTTATTACTTTCAGGATATTCATCGATTCATCCATTCAGTAGATTGACTAATAATAATATCAGCTGATTGTAATTTTTTCTTCCTCATTTTTAATGATTTCCGTTTTATTTTATTTCTCTTCCTCAAATCTCCTGAAAATTCATTTCACAGATTCAACCATGAAATCAGCTCCTCGATTAATTGGTTCACTGAAAGACCAATGGATTCCGATTGGTGCTGACCTTTCAGTGGGATGTTTATCATCCGCTGATCCTGCTCCAAGTTATCATTGGTTTCATGAAGAATCGTTCAAAAATTCAGTCAACAATTTGCTCAAACATTCATCACAATCTTCATCTGTATCACCATCATCAATATCAACTTCTTCCTCTTCCATGTTAATTTCAAATGGACCAATGTTATTTTTACGCTCTGTGCAATTACACAATGCTGGAGTCTATGTTTGCCTGGTCAATAATAGTCTTGGTCAAGATCGCCTTCGCTTTAAGCTCAATATTATCGGTAAGAAGATTATTCAATCAGTAACGTCAAGAAAATTATCACTTACTGATAATTAATCCGATTGAATTAAAAAAAAGCAAAAAGGTCAAGTAAAAGATATCAACTCAATTATACTGATTATCGATTAAGATGATGGACAATTAACACTGTTTGATCATCATGATTAACAAATGATGATAAGAAACTGTATTGATTCATCCGTTTTGATTGTCTATTTCATTATTACCTGTTTGAAATTTGATTAGATTGATGAAAAAATTGAAGTTTCTTCCCTTCAATTGGACATGAAAACATTGTTATTATTTGACAATTCACTTGAGTGTATTATTTTATGAGCTTTTATCAACCATCTTCTTGTATTTGCCCGGCGGGTAAAAATTTTCCACTTTCACCCTTCTCATCCTTTTCCCATTTCTTTACCATCATCATCATTCAATGTTTATTGTCAAACAAACAAAATCACAATATTTGTTTCCTTTTCCTCTTTAATTTTTTTTTCTTCTCTCCATCTACTTCCAGTCTATTCAAGTTATAATTTGTCAAAATTAAAATTGCCTCAGGCAATCTAGTTGATTTTCTTGTTACCTGAATCCCATTAGTCATACGTATGTTTGAATGTAAATATTTAATACATAAGAATTTTGTTGAAAAACTTTTTCTAAAATTAATACAATCGTTTTTTTTAATTACAATTAACTTCTTTATGATTACGATTGATCATCATCATCTCATTTGGAAAAGGTAATCAACCTTAATTGTGTTTTCATCTTTCGTTAATTGTTAACCTTTTTTTCAAGCACTTTACTTGTTGTTAATTCTAATTGTCAAGTTAATTTAACTAAAATCGTCAAGATGATTGTTATTAACTTTTTCACTGTTTATATAATTAGTTTTTTAACAATTAGTTAGTACTTTTTGTTATATGATGTTAATCAAATAATGTGATACACAGATGATTGTGATTTAGTTTAATTAAGATTAACTAGATGATGACAAGACTTGTTGACAACACAATTAAATGACAACATTTAATTTCAAACAATTAAAAAGACAAGAAAATTAAGGAGAAAATCAATTTACCACTATTGAGATGATACTATTAGTATGAGAATAAGAATTGAAAAGACTTCACAATTTTCTGTATTGTTCATTTTGTTTAGAACTTTTTTTTTTCTATTCTTTTTTAAATTTCCGTCATCAGGGGTGGATAATGATGAGGCAGGATGATGATGATCATCATCATCTCATGATGGTGATAATGATAAAAATCATCCACTGATTGATAAATCAGCCTAATCATCATCATCATCAAGTGATATAAGAAAGTTTTTTTATCTGATATTTAATTTAGTTTCAGCTCATCAAGTTTTGGAGTCACTTTTTTTCAGCTCAATGAAAAATGATTATCATGATGATCATGGTGAGGGTGATAATGAGTGGGATGGTTTTTGGCTTCATTACGTATGTTAAATTGCTAAGGTATTGATGATCAGCATGATCATTATCAGAGTGTTTAAATTTGATGAAATTAACTTGAAAACAATCAAGAGTAAATGATGAAAATTCATCCATCATTTACAGCTCAATTTATTGATTGTTCTTGAGACTTTTTTTTTCTCTCTCTCTCTTTTTTTTCTCTTTTAACTCAATCATCTTCATCCTCCATCATTATGCTTAAATTGTTAGATTTAATTACATTCTTTCAATTTCTAAATTACATTTACAATTTATTATCGTTGGAACTTTTTTTCTCTACCTTCACTTTTGATCGATGTCACATCTTATTTAATATATTACATGTACCTTTAAGCTTTATAAGCTTCGAACTGTCTTTCTCTAAATTAGATATTCTTATGATCATGAACATTTCGATTAATGATTCTAATATTATTTATCCTCTTTTTCCCCTATTAGAACCATTATCTGTATCAATGAGACCTTCGCAGTTGTATCGACGTCGAGAAGGTGAACCGGGAGTTATTGATTGTCTAATTAAATCATCTTCGAATCGTGATCATAGTTCAACTAATTTAAATAGTAACAATTTGTTTACCTACGAATGGTTCAAGGATTCAAAGCCGATTGCATTTACATCTCGAGTATCATTAACCTCAAGAAATAAGCTGAGAATTTTATCAATAGTTCGAGAAGATCGTGGTATGTACCAATGTATCGTTAGATCCGAAGGAGCCTTAAGACAAACTGCATTCGCAACACTTCATCTTCATATTGAAGGTAAAATACAAGTTCGAAACTTTTTTTTTCGTTATAATTTTCTGTTCGAAACTTATTAAATTTGGAAACGAAATTTCTTATTCCATCAGAGGAATCACCAAGAATGATAACAACTTTCAAAAGTCAACTTTTGGAAGACGGTTACTCATTAAGCCTTAAATGCAGTGCCAACGGAAGTCCATTACCGCAGATCCGATGGTCACTGTATCATAAATTTATTGAAAGTAGGGGAGGAAACGGGAATCATCGACCATTATCATCGCCAATGTCGAAGTTTTCATTGTTGTCATCATCACGTTATCGAATCGGTGATTATGTTGATTCTAATGGACACATTGTATCATTTCTCAATGTTTCATCGGTATCACGAGAAGAAGGTGGACTTTACACTTGTACAGCTTATAACGAGATTGGATCAATTGCTCATTCGGCTCCAATAAGTATCCTTGGTCCACCGATGGTCCATCCAATAGATAATGTAACAATCCTTTCAACTTCTCGCCTATCAATTGATTGTCCATTCTCAGGTCATCCTATTGAAACCATAACATGGAAAAAAAGTAAATATAAAATGAAGAAACAAAAATTCAACCAATTCTTACATTTTTAACTTATAACTTCTTGCTCATGATTAGATGGTCATCCATTGCCAATATCACGCCGAGTCTTTCGTCATTCAAACGGGACACTACAATTGGTTGACGTGCACACAGATGACCAGGGATGGTATCGATGTGAAGTATCCAATGGTCAGCAAACTGCTCAAGGTTCACTCTACGTTCATATATTAGGTAATAATTACTTATTACCAACAAGAATTGTCTTCATCAGCGTTAATATAACAATATAATGACTCCCTGTTGTTGTTGGTGAATTAAATTCATTGTGATTTTATCTTCATCTTTCTTAAAGTTTCTCTTTCCTCATCATTCCCCTCTTTCGACTTGTTCTATTTTTTTTTCATCTTTCGCTGAGAGAAATTACTAAGTGAAAACTGAATCTCATGGTGAAAGAGGCGGAAGAGATGGGAAGATGGGAGAAAGACGAAGAAAAGATGATTCTTTGAGACAGAGAGCTGATGTCACTTTACCTCGAATTGATATAGAGAAAAAATCATTGGAAGCAATTATAAGATATTTCCATTGTGTCTTTTTCTTCCCCTCATCTTTCCTCATCTTCATCTGTTTATCTGTAAGAAAAGGAGAGGAAAATGATGATATTATTGTTGATGATTATGATGATGATGATGATGAAAAGCGAAAGAGTAAAAGTCTTGGTCATCCTTAATAATGGTCAATCTTTAGGTTTAGTCTCAATAAAAATAGTTCCCTTTGTGATATTAACTTAACCTAGAGCTGATTATTTTACCAACTCCCATCGTCATCATCATCATCATCATCATCATCACTAACAATATCCTCCATTACCAATACAGACTAGAGGTTAATTGATGATGATGCTTAAATACAGTCTTAAATTGTTCACGTTTGTGAGATCTGAAGGTTCGAGGATTTTTTTCTTGCCTTCCTTTCAATGAAAACATTGGTCAAGTTATAATATAAAAAGGATGAGGATGTAACTTTTAATAGCTTCATCATCCATCAACGTCATCATCATGATGATGATCATCATAACCCATTATCAGAAATCATCATTAAGTCAAATCTATAGATATTTTTATCATTAGAACTTTTTTTTTAGTTACTCAGATTTTTTCGTCTCCATTCAGAACTTTACCAGAATGGGTCAAGTTAATTCATGCAAATTATTTGCATTACCTGATTACCAATAATTGTGATACATTTCCACTCCGAAGCGATTCCCATAAGTGATTCTTGATGTTCAGTTTGAATTTTTTTCCCTCTACGATTTTGGAAAAGGTTAAAGGTTATAAAATATTTAATGGTCAGTTCATCTTCTTACCTCATCTTGGATGGTCAACTTTTTCATGGTTGTAATTGATTCTTGTGGGTATTCACAATTAGATGAATACTCTAGTTTGATAGCCAAGTTGAAAAATTTTCTAGATTATCATTCATCTTGATTTAGTTTTCACTCTCAACAGTTAACCTGAATTTCTGGTGAACAAAATAAAAGTCAGATTAATTGTGGATCAGATTGAGAGACTGAAAAGATTAAAATTAATGATTATTATCAAGTCATTCTTGTCTTAATGATAATTGATTGGACTGATCAGTAAATTAAAAATCGAAATGAAAAAAACATATCAACCATTTTCCTTTTTTAATCGTTAATTGTTATCGGCTGGCTAACGAAATCTATTATTATGATTACATTACAAGCAATTAAGGTAATCTTGAGATTAGATGATACCAATCAATAGTAATTAGCTGATAGGAAATTAAAAAATTGTGGCAACTTTCAGTTGATTAAATTTTTATCCTGTTATCATTTAAATTGTTGATTTGATAACAAACACTCATGCATCTCAAATGATAACAATTAACAATTAAATGACCATGAACAATGTTAATGGTCATTTGTGATTTCAACTGATATTTAAATTATCTTGACCATTAACAAGGGCTAAAGGTCATTATTATTGTTGATAATATAACTGGTTAATGATGATAATCATCAGTAGTCATGGTTAACATTACTCTTAATCTCAAAGGAAATCCTTTTAATTGTTGTTGTTGATGTTTGATGTTATTTAGTGTTCACTTAATTAACTTGCCAAGCAAAATTTTTCTAATTATCATTCAGGTATACAAATGATAATGAATATGTTTGTTAACTATTGAAACAACAATTTAGATGATTGTTTAAAATGAACAGAAACTGTTGGAATGTAATCATGTTGATTTGTTTTGTTTTTCTTAATTTTTTCCAAACAATTAGAGAAACCAGTGATTAACCCTTTCATGTTTGGTGCTGATTTAACTGAGGGTATGAGAGCTACAGTTGTTTGTAGTATCTTATCAGGTGATCCACCGTTGACATTTACCTGGCTGAAGGAGGGCCAACCTGTCACCTCTTTTCATGATGATATTGATATTTCAAGTTTCACTGATTCTGATTCAAGTTTCAGAATTAAATCAGTTAAAAGATCACATTCAGGAAATTACACTTGTGTTGTTTCATCTTCCAACATTTCATCTAATTACACCGCTGAAATGATTGTCAAAGGTAAGTGATTAACTTTAATTTTCATTGGTTTTCTAAATTGTTTCTCTGAATTGTTGTCCACAGCACCTCCAAGGTGGGTGATTAAACCTGAAGAGGGTCACTCTTTACTTAGAGGTCGAAATGTCGTTATCGATTGTCAAACTGATGGTTATCCTCAACCAACTCACCAATGGAAAAAGGTCAAGAATGGTATTAAACCTTTTGACCATTCGGGACGGGAGTTGGTTGGAATTGTTTCCGGTCCTCATATTCAAGTTCTCGAGAATGGATCAATTTCAATTGTTGGTATTACCAAGGAAGATGATGGTGTTTACATTTGTGAATCAAGTAATAATGTTGGTCCACCTCTTTCAGTCACAACTCGACTGACCATTAATCAACCTGTAAGGTTTAACAAAAATTTCGAGCTTATTGAAGCGAACAGAGGTGATCCCGTTATTTTGGTGTGTACAGTTTTCGGTGATGCACCAATAACACTTTCATGGATTCGAGATCGTGAAGCAGTTCTTCCCATGACTGGACCAGGAAATAATAATATCAAAATCGAGGAAGAGCGTACAGAAGATTCGTTAACAAGTAAAGTTATTCTAAGTTCGGTTGATGTTACCGATTCGGCGTTTTTTACCTGTCAAGCTCGCAATGCTTTCGGTGCGGACGAGAAAAATGTTCAACTCGTTGTCAGAGGCCCACCTGAACCACCAACGGGCCTCAAAGTGGGCGAAATCAAAAGTCGAGCAGCTTCATTGTCCTGGCTACCAACAGTTAACGGTAATAGTCCGTTACTTGGATACATCGTTGAATATACAACATCAAATGGTACGAAATGCAATTACTCTTCCCATCAACAGAATCCTCATCATTTAACTAATTGTTATTACCATCAATTTAGTTTTCCTTCATCTTTACAATTTTTATTCCTTCCTATGAATAAACCGCATCAATCTAATTCAATGTTATGTAATTTCTGTCTATCTATTCATCTTCTCATCTTGTTCACATATAAATGTCTTCTAATCTGTTAACTATTCTGAGACCAATTCAATTAGCTGAAAAAAAGTAGAGTAGTAGTAATCATTTAGTTGAATCTTTTCCCATTGACTTTGCACTTATCTTCCAATGGTAGTTATTTCTCATTCTTTCACCATTCTATTACATTCATCATTGCTTCCAATTGTGTATTTGTGTTGCTTGTACTTTTTTATATACTTCACTTTGATCGTAAATTGTTGGTCTAATAATAATGTTTTCTTCATCTTTTCATCTTCTTCTTTCTCTCTCTCTCTCTCTCTCTCAATGACCCAATCAATCAATTAACCATAAAAAGATACATGGACCAATTCTCTGGAGACAGCATCCGTTGATCCAAAAGATTTGTCGATTCTTATTACAAGTTTAATACCGGAAACTGTGTATCGATTACGAGTTATTGCTCAGAATGGTCTTGGTCGAAGTAAACCAAGTCAGGAAATTATCATTCGCACTGAAGAAGAGGGTAAGTTTTATCATCACCATCAGAATTGATGAAGGAGAGAGATAAAGATTAATATATCATCTTCTATTCAATGTTGATCATATTATTAGATTGTCGATAAAATCAAATGTCATGGCTCGATTATCATGAATGATCCATAAAGTTTTACTTCTTAGGTTAACTTTTTATCAGAATATTTTTTTTCCAATAGAAACTTGAATTCGCTTCTTATCCTTGTGAAATTTATTTGACTTCTAATATAATTATCATTAGAATGCTAATAATTTTATATGTATAGATTTATATTCATTTTGTTTACCTTAATTAGTTTAGGCTTGGAACTATTCAGCAAACAATTTACTTCTTGATTAATTGAATCATTATGAAAACAATCAACAATTGTTTACTCAACGTTTCCCACCTTCATCTAATAAGCTGCTAAATTACATTCACAGTGAGCTTTAGTTTACTGCGTGTCTTTCAGCTAATGCGTTATCGCCATCATCATCCTCATCCTCATCCTCGCCCTAACCATCTTTACAAATACAGTATGTGTAAACAGAGACAGAGATGATGATAAATAAATTAAATTCCTTATTCAGTCTTCGTTTATTCATTGACAAGGTGATTAAGATTTACCTTTATCCCTCATTCTGTTTTAGCTTGTTTTTTGCTTTCGTTCTCTCTCTCTCTTTCTCTCTCTCTTGTCATCATCTTTTAAGTTCCCACCTCTGTTTATCTCATTAGAAGTGGAATGTTCATCTTCCTTCATTTTTTTCTCACTCCCAGTCCCTTGAATTTCTCGTATAAAGAACTGAAGATATAGTGAACAAGAACTCTGAGAATTTCTCATCTACTATTATTATCTCAATTTTTTTTCTCTCTCTTCCTATTTTCTTTTTACCTTCATCTCTACACTTATATTATCCTGTTGACATTTTGCTTGACCTTATCTACCATAGGGTCAACAAAGTCGTTAACCAACTTTTGGTTTGGTCATCATTCAAATCTCATGAGGGACCGAAAGGTTTTCCTTATTTTTTTCCTTTTCTCATCATTATATTTACTTTCAATTGATTTGTCGTTTACTTTCATTATCTTAATCAACAATCTACTAATTGTTATAAGTCAATTCGATTGTTGTCTCTTCTTTATGGGATTATAAATAAAAGGATTGCGATTTACTGATGTGAAAATGTTTCCATATTAATTCAATATAATCTTTGAATCTTTCTCTCCTTGATAGGATTAACTTTGGATGAATAATTAATCTTGATGAACATAATTTATAAATCGCTTTATTTGTTGACATAAGCTAATTTCCATCATCATCATCATCATAGACTTAAATACGATAATTAACTTAATTTTTTTCTCTTCCTGTCAATGTTTATGTTGTTACTAATAATTAATGTTCTAATGTTTTAATTATGTTTCAATTTTGTCCATTCATTAGCTCCCAATGAAGCTCCAGCCAATGTAAGAGTCGAAGCAATTAGTTCACGATCATTGAAAATCTACTGGTCCAATTTGGGTCGAACTAAAAGAGTCGATGGTTATCATATTGGATTTCGAAAGGTTAACGGTTTTAATTCGATGAGAAGTTCATTCGATTTTGTAACGTTCAATTTAAATGAGACACTTAAAGGATTCGATGAACTTAATTACAATGTTACTGATCTTAAACGTAACACGAAATATGGACTAATTGTCCGTCCCTTTAATAAAAAAGGGCTTGGAATCGCTTCGGAAGAGGTTTACAGTCAAACTCTCGAGTATGGTAAGGTCACTATTCGCGTTTCAGATTCTTTTTGAAAACTTTCGAAAAAGATTAAGTTCGGTGGCGACATCTCTTGTCACCGAATGATAATATTAATAATACTTATAACTTTACATTTTCTTTTTCTTTTTCTTTTTTCTTTTTCTTACTGATTCTTATTATCTTTCATTTTTTCCTCTTTCGTTTCATGGTAGACCCTCCTGGTGAAGTTCTTGCTCGAGTAACTGGAGCGACTCATAGATCGTTAACCATAAAAATGGAAGGAGCTAATCAAGAGAATCCAATAAGTGGCTATATTGTTAATTATAAAAGTAACACTGAAGATTGGGAGGAGATTAAAATTCTTGGTACTCGAAATAATTTCGTTCTAGAAAATTTAAGGTGTGGTACAAAGTATTCGATTTCAATCACACCATATAATAAAGCAGGTCCTTCGCCTGATACTAAAATGTTTCATGCCACAACCTCTGGTAATGGTGAGTTATCATTTCTTCAATTGTTGTTATTCATCATGAGCAGAAGTCTTTATTGTCATTATATTGTTATGATCTAATTATTGGATATTTTTCAGTGCCTTCATCTGGACCTTTGGAGTCTCTCTTAACGGTTAATTCAACGTCCGCCTTAATTGATTTAAGTGCCTGGAGTGAAAATGGTTGTCCCATCATATCCTATGTGGTTCAATATAAGCAACACTTTCAAACTGATTGGATTATGTTTTCAAATAATATTATGCCTTCACAGGGGAAATTGATTATTCCTGATTTAATACCTGCCACTTGGTACGATTTACTGATGATCGCTAATTCTGAGCCTGGAACGACCGAGGCTCAATATCTATTTGCAACCTTAACGCAAAGTGGAGGTAAAATTTTGAAATACTTACGATATATGTATGAATCGATTACTAATTCTAACTACAATTTTTTGAATTCTCTTGTATGATTAAAGGTACAATTCCACCACTTTCGTCAACTTCGTACTCGACTTGGGAATTGAACTTTGGTGATCCTGTTGTTTTAGCTCCGATACTTTGTGCTTTCATCGTATTCGTGGTTATATTTATCACGATTGCAATTCTAATGTCAACTAAACACCAACGAACTGACGTTGTTCAGGAAACTTGTAAGTTTAGCAAAGATTTTGATCTAGTTTTCATGATGAATAATTGATAAATCGCCCAATTCACAGATAATAACAACGAACGAAATAAAATGGAAAGTCTATCAATGTCATCTTTTGCTCTTCCAGTTGAGCCTTCGAATACCGGTAAGCACTTAATTTTTTCACATAAAATTTAATTTTGAATGTTATTGATTAAATGTAAATACGATTGATTATTAATCAAATTGTTCATCTTTTTAATTTCAGGGAAAAAAAGTTATGAAACAGTTCAACGTAAACCAACCTATGGATCTTATTATACTTCACCTTATGCTGCCAATCGATTGAACTTTTGTGAACAAGAGATTCCACTAAATCATCATGCTATTCAGAGACACGCTCAGCTTGACAATGAATCTCATTATGATGATCTACTCACTCGAAATTATCGATCAACATCACCTGATTTATGATAAAGAAAAGTTAATTGAATAAAAGTTTCATCTAATCACAACAATCGAACAAAAACGATTATGATAATTTTAAATTTGGACTTCGAAATTTACAAATGTACAAAAACGAAAAAAGGAAATTTCAGTCCATCAACTTAACGAAATTTTGAATAAATTATTGTACAATTTTAATGATCAACAAATTGATTGCTATCGAAAAGTAATCATTACTTGTGTAATTAACTTTTGCTATTTATTTTTGTGTAACTTTGCTTTCTTTTTCAATAAATGCGATCAAATTTGACACAATTGATATTCAATTTACAATAAATTGTTCAAAAATTTAGGTTTTCAAGTCGAACTCTAAATTGTTGAGAAAAAAATTCTTCTTAATTAGAATTTTCCATTTTCTCTCACCAGATGACAGCACAAATGGAAAACGTGGTTACATTTGTTTTCTTTTTGAAAATTGAGCTTTTTTTTAAATTTCAATTCTTAGATTTTTTTTAATTGTAACTTTTAATTTTCTTAGTTTTCGAGTGTTTCTAATTGTTTTTCCGTTAACTATTTTACTGAGTCATCATGTCAACACCGCTGATTGAAAATAATTCTTCTATGGTTCCCGGTGAAGCTCCAATTAAACGAGAGTTTCTTTTGGAGGTTAAAAGCTCTCGAGGAATTGATTTGGATCATGTATCAGAAAGAGATAAATCATTATTAATTAAGGAGGAACCTGGTGACAATGGTGATCAATTGGGTGATCGTGAAGAAGATGGTGAACAAGGGGGTGAAGATGATGAAAACCATAGCGACAAAAGGTCTGGTTTTAAAAGGAAAAGGAAGCAAAAGCTTCGTGGTCAAAATAAGAATCGTAAAGTAAATGAAATGGCTGTTAGAAGAGCGGCTCGGGTAAAACGGCCTTGTCTCAAATATTCGGCCAGTATTGGTAATGAGGCAACGGAAGGATGTCCTTATGGTACTTCATGTAAACACGGTCATTCAATTGACGACTATTTGAAAGAGAAAATACCCAATATTGATCGTGATTGTTATTCTTTTGTTAAATATGGTTTCTGTCCATATGGATTCTTGTGTCGATTCAGTGGACAACATATTGACCCAGCCGATAATCGGAGTAACATTGTTGATAAAGAAAAATGGGAATCGATGAAAATTGAGATGCAAACAAATTCTACCAATCAAATGGATAAAAATATTCTTCCTCTACTTCGAAAGAGAACTTATGATTTTAGTCGATCTATGAAAGCAATTAAAGGTGAGAATTGTCATTAAGATCAATCTAACGATCTAAATCTAATATATTCATTTTTTTCCTTGAATCTTTAGATGTTCGTGATAAACCCTTAGGCCCATTAATTGGTGAAACGGAAAAGGTTGAAAGAAGCTCAATCGATTTCAAAGGGAAACTGTATCTTGCCCCTTTGACGACCATTGGTAACTTACCATTTAGAAGGATCTGCAAAGAGCTTGGTGCCGATATAACTTGCGGAGAAATGGCCATGGCCACGAATATTTTAGAAGGTCAAGCATCCGAATGGGCTTTACTTCGTCGCCACAAAAGTGAAAGTATCTTTGGTGTACAACTTTGTGGAAATAACTCTGAAGTAATAACCAAAGCATCACAATTAATCACTGAGCAATGTTCAGTTGATTTTATTGATATTAACATGGGTTGTCCCATCGATTGTGTCTATCAAAAAGGAGCCGGTGCTGGTTTGATGAATAAAACAAACCGATTAAATGAAATGATCTATGGAATGTCTCAAGTTACAAAGGTATAACAACGTCAACTTATATAATAATTTCTACTTAAAATATTCATCAATTAATTTTCTCTTTTCTAGGTTCCAATTACTGTAAAAATGAGAACTGGTATTCACGCATATAAAAATATCGCCGATAAAGTTATTGATAATATCGTTCACTTTTGGGATAACAAGACGGTTGGATTGATTACAGTTCATGGTCGATCACGGGAACAACGTTACACTAAATCAGCTAATTGGGAATATGTGAATGAATGTGCAAAACTGTCGAAAGAAATTCCAATCTTTGGTTCGGGTGATGTTCTTTCGTACGTGGATTATGAGCAAAAATTGGCCGAGAATCCGAATGTTTCTGGAGTACTCATTGGACGTGGTGCGATAATTAAGCCTTGGCTATTCACTGAAATCAAAGAGAAACGACATTGGGACATTTCATCTCGAGAACGTCTCGAAATTATTCAAAAATTTGCCAACTATGGTTTAGAACAGTGGGGATCAGATGATGAAGGCGTTGAAAGAACTCGACGATTTCTCCTCGAATGGTTATCTTTTCTCTATCGTTACATTCCCGTTGGACTTCTTGAAGTTTTACCACAGAAAATCAATGATAGGCCACCATATTATCGAGGTCGCGATGAACTAGAAACTCTCATGGCCTCACCATCTTGTAGCGATTGGGTCAAAATCTCAGAAATGTTTCTTGGTCCAGTTCCGGATGATTTTGTTTTCCTACCAAAACACAAAGCAAATGCTTATCAAGCCTAATCAGCAATCAGATAATTTAATTCAATTGCATTTAATTTACAATCCATCGCGAGAACAAATCAACTTTTAAACCTCATCAAATTAATCATTGCAAATTTGTTTATATCACTGTGATCAAGACTCATTTTCTCTCATCACAAGATCTTTAATTGTAATTAAAGATAAAAGTACAATTATCTTTTTCTTGTTTAACAATTTAAATTTCATTGTAATTAACAAACAAAAAACAATATTCTTCAAAAATATCAAATGTAAAGGTAAAATGTTTTATCAAATTAAAATGTAATATTTTACCACTTTAACTAGAAAATTTAGATTACAGAAAATTGTAAATTTACATTTCTTTTAATTATAAACCTTAAACTAATCAACTTTGATTGTTGGTGTCAAATTTTACATGGGGATTGGAATAGATAACATTGGATGGATGAAGTTGGCAAGAGAAATGATTGAAATTTTGGTTTCGATGATGAGATGATCTAAATTGTCCAAATCATGAGTGTAAAAAGTGATGGCTTTTGTCGGAGGCAAATGCATATATCACAGGAACGAAAATGAGAATGAATAAAGCGACAAGAAGTAAACTGTACCAACTTAATCCACAATCAGCTCCATCACAATTATAATTAGAAGTTGATTTAGGTTTGGAAGTGTTGATTTGATGGGTTAATGCTGATGAATGTGTATCATTAGTATCATTGATACTGCCAATAGAAGAGGGTAAATTTTGGTCACTTTGAACATAATTGTCGGCCACTTTTCTCATTTTAGCAAGATCAACATCTAAATTAGTCAGAAATTTGTTCATATCTTGAGAATTGTCATCATTAAGAAAAGTCTGTCGTAAACCAACGTTAATTATCAACGGTTTGTTTGTCAATTCTTCTGGTGTTTCATCGATCAAGGTTAAATTTGAACTGTTCACTTGGTGAACCATCACCTCACTGAGGATTCCATACTTTTTAACAGGTATTTTAATGACAGCAAGTGCATGAAAATCTTGATCAGAAACTAAATTGTTAACCCGTTTAAGCTCATGTAATGAACAATACCATTTAAGAGCGATTCCTTGAAGGGTATCACCTTTTTCAATCCTATGGAAAATGTAATGATGATGGTCAGGCTTTTTGTTTGATTGTCTTTCTTTTTGAGATCGCTTTTTGAGTTCATAATAATCGTTACTAAATTCTAGATCTGGTATAATTGTCTCCTGGTTATTTGTGGATATTTGTCGCTGAGATTGTAGTAACTTTTGTCCATGTGAAAGGTCATTATTGTCATCGCATTTATTACCAAGAAAGTTCAAGTTTTCTTGGTGTTGTTGGTCAATCTCTTGATCAACTAATTTCTCATATTTCCATTTGAAAAGAGACGATCTGTTGGTCATCACGCGATTTTGAAATTGTGAACACTGGCATAATTGGTCAATAGATTAATAGATTAACAGTTTATCATCAACCCTTTGATAATCCTTAAGGGGTTTTCTGGAATAATTTAGATGTGAAAATTTGGAAGACACAATCGGAAAATGAATGATAATTTCAATAAAGATTTTACTCTTCCATCCAACAATTGATATTTACGTCTATGATTTGATGAAAAATATCGTATCAATCAGATGCCACAATTCAAATTGTTAACTAGAAAGAGAGAAACAAAACATAATTAAAATCAAGGTTATTTCTGAGAGATTTTGATCAGGGAAAACATTGAAAGTGTGTTTTAATTAGATGATGATGATGATGAACAACAACAATAAACATCACAATGAATATTATTAAAACCTCAATGTTATCGAGTGAATTTTTCACAGCAAAAAGTAATCAACAAATAGTAATCGTAGTCGTAATTGGTTAAGAGTGATATAAATTATTGGTACGTGGCTACATGACTATCAATTAGTTGTAAAGTGCTGACAATTACTGAAATTTTCCGACAGAAATAAACAAAAATCAGCTTCATCTAAAATCAGATGAAGTTCAGGTGAACCTGAATTGTTATATGAAAGAGGCACTAATTATGTAACTTGGTTCTGGAATAAATCATCTACCTGGAAGATTATCCATAATATAATGAGATAAGAATGTAAATATTAGATTTTAATTGAGAAAAAAACATTGAAACATTTAAAATTAGTGGAAACTTAATTAGTCTCTTTCTCTCTCTATATTTCTTAACACATACAATTAGGAAAAAGCTTACGGTCAGAACCAGAAAACTGGTTGAGAATAAGTTAATTGTTGATGTAACAAGATTTAGAATTGAGACCAATCGAGAGAGAAAAAGAAAAAAATTCTTACCATTTAAAACAGAAATCGGACTTTTGAAGCTACTTAAAATTCAGTCAGTTCGCAGCCTATTCTATACACGGAAAGGTGATAAAATGAAGAAAAAAACAAAAACAAAGGCTAATGATTTAAAGAAACAAAATGTCAAAATTAACTGATCTCATTTTAATTAATTCAACAAAACAAAGACTTGGACCGAAAGTGAAAATCAGCTGATCGAAAGTAGTAATAAATGAAGAAAATAGATGGAGCCTTCAGAAGTGACGTTCTTTGAATTTTGGATAATCTATGAGAAGACTTGGGACTCAAACCGAGTCGACAATAGAGTCACTCTACCCTTTGAAATATTACCAAAACGACAAATTAATTGGCCAACAGAACAAACAATTAACACTACAATTAAATGGGCCATTGGTTATTTCGATTTTCTATTGACAAAAGATAATCTATTATGTCCATATGATCATTTACCCCTTGACATGAAACATATATTAACTAATTGTCAAGATAAACAAACCGAAAATTTTAGCGAAAAAATCAAAAAACAATTAACGAAAGCAAAATACGAAAAATACCAATTAATATTAATTGACGAGTTTCGCAAACGGATATTCGATTACTACTTAGATCCGCTAGAAATTAGTGAACAACATTAACCGTTAACCCTTTCTCTTTACGATTACAAAAACTTAATTTCGAAAACAAAAAATCTCTATTCTTATTTCTTTTTGAACAATTACAATCTAATCTTATCATGGAATCAGTGGACCTCTTTGTCTATTTAATTTTAGTGATGACCACTTCACTCTGGTTTTATTTTATTTATACAAACAATAACAACAACAATTCAACAAGTGAATCGACATCGAAATGGTTATATAAATCTTATATAAAATGTAATTCTAAACATGTAACATCGAAATTGAAATAAACGCAAAAGCGACTTGAAATTCAAATGTAACTAAGTTACAGTCATAACCGAATAAAGGACAGTGAAGTCGATATTATTTCATTCTTCAGATCAGGTGAAGTTGATCTTCTTCATCGGGCTTCTACTGAAAAACTCAAAATAATTTGATTTTTTCGCTTTTCATATTCTATTCAATCTTTTCTATTTGTCGTTATGATTTCATTTTCTTAGTTTCGTAAAATTTTCGTTAATATTTCTCATTGTGAGCTTTGGATAAGCAATGAATAGCTCTCTTATTAAAGTTCTAATAAGATGAACAAAAGTAAATTTGGGCCATTCTTATTTTTAACCTGCTCTTTCTCCGCCTATTACATATTACAATTATTTTCGACATCTTTCACAACACAATACTCGATAGCCTCACGTTCAGCACCAGCAGTTGAATACGTGGTCTGATGTAACTTCACGAAAAGAAATTGAAACGAGAAGGTTGCGAATTTTTGGGAGATGCAAAGATAAAATCATTTTTCACTCGAATTCTTCGAAAATCATTGGAGAAACGATTAGAAGATAAAGTAGAACTTGATTTGCAAGTTCGAGGACGTGCACTCACTACTTCGAAAGATGCAACAACAACGTCGGGCCCAAGTTCAACCAATCGGCCAAAGAGATCAACAAACAGTAATGCTGTTGATCATTTGTTGGATGAGAAAATTGTATTACCATTTGAATTCATTCAATTACCGGAAGGTCAAATTCCTGAGATACGATTGGAAGGAAAGGGGGGAGGAAGGAAGCTCTTAAGAACTTTAAGAAACACATAGTCGATACTTTTGCGACACAATTATCGAGAAGCAGAAAATCAAGCGTTGAAAAAAGTCCCATCGATGAACATATTTCCCATTACGATTACCACGAAGTATCACCCGATCAGCCAATTGAAGAGACACTTTCAGTCGCCGGTTACCCATCATTATACGCGATTAATAGGAAAGGAAAAGAGATTAATGAAATCAATGATCAATCACAATCAAATGGTTCCAATTAAAAGGTCCAGATCATCAGGGCGATTACGAGAGACGATGTTATTAAGGTCGGAAGTGGATCAGTTTTAATCCATGATCCTGACCAGGTAAACATATCGATTCGTCAAGTACAAGAAATTGTCAAAGGTCGATTGACAGAAACAGGCAATTAATCACTTTTGATACTCTTAAAATGAGTTTTTTTGAGTTTCATATTTAAGTGATTAGAATTTAATTTAACGTTGATTTTTATCTATTAATCCCTTCATCAGCTGGTTTAATCTCTGTTGATTCAACAAGACCAATGGATCCAAAGTGAGTTTAGCTTTAACCAAAGAGTGAAAATATACTCTTTTTTGATTAACCTTGATTGTAATTAAAAATTAATTTTTTTCAATTTTAATCTAATTTCCCCCATCAAGTATAAGGCGAAGACGTAAACGAGCCTCTAATGGTAATGATGATGAACTTGATGGTTACATGAAGGTTTTAACATACAATTTTATACAGGGCGTAACAACCAAATATCCGGACTTTTGACGCTTTACCATTTCTAGGCTATTTATTAGGTCAGAGTTTTTTCTTCGCGATTCAACAGAAAAAATGTGAAAGTTTTGTTGTGTTCTAATTCGGAACTTTTCCATAAAGCCCTTACCGAGCAGTGGCGTTTCAAAGTCGGAAAAGGTACATTTAGATGCAAAACTTTTTCGAGAAATTTTCCGACTTTGAGACGCCACTGCTCGGTAAGGGCTTTATGGAAAAGTTCCGAATTAGAACACAACAAAACTTTCACATTTTTCTGTTGAATCATGAAGAAAACTCTGACCTAATAAATAGCCTAGAAATGGTAAAGCGTCAAAAGTCCGGATATTAATTATTACCCTATTATCTAACTTATAAAGGTTTTTTCATCAAATCTATTAATCAATCTTAAGATGGAAAATGATAAACTTTTAACTGTTTCCTGTTTCTTTTTTTGCGTTCGTCACAAATCATCATGGTATTTATAATAATAATTAAGAGTCGAATGGTTTTATAAGTACTTTTGTCAGCATCTTTATACTATTGATCAACAGTAATAGTAGTAATATGTATACTAATAGTAGTAATTGTAGTAGTAATGTAGTAATACCATATAAATCAACACTTTATTCATTGAATATTGATCTAGTTAATGATCATCTAATTCAAAATTAACTACGTTTATTGATTCAAATGAATTTACAATAAACAAAATATAAATTAATCGCAAACAAAGTTTGGGGCCTATTGATTTAATTGTGACTAATTCTCACAGATGATTAAAGTAATAATTAACATTAACCAATTGATATAACCTTATTCACAAATTTGTATAAAAAGCATGAGCTTTGAGTTGATTATCATCACTTATTAATTATCGATTAATTTAATCCACAACAAAAATAACACTTTTGCCTTTTTTCAAAGTAACAACATTAACTGTGAAAGTTTCATCATGAACTTCAACTTCACTAAAGTTCTCATCGCCATCATTGCCTTCATTGGGGCTGCTTCATCCATCCACCTGAGAGCTGAAAGAGGAATTTCACTCCCTGCAGATGGTTGAAACAGCAGCTGACGCTTTTTTATTATAATGTAAGAAAATTGATTAGATCGTTGATGTTGATCGTCATTAAAAGAAAAATTAATAATATTAACCTAATAAAATGGTTTGTTGCATTTAAACTTTTTGTCTCTTGTTTATTTTTTTCGTGTTCGTCAAGAATCATTGTCTTAAAATTATTTGTGATAAGTTTTGATTAAGTTATTAGTTCAATGGTACAAATACTCAAATTATCTATTAAATTTTTATCATGTATAACGACTATTTTCAATGCTTTTTTCCAGAACTTAGCCAAATCGCTTTGTCCAGCAGTCCTTTGACCTTATCGAAGACTCTGGCTACCAGCATCCAGATAAGTTGTCAACTTGCTGACTTAGATTTTGAATGATTAATTCGGTTTTTCTTAATTTTATTAATACATAAATTGTAGATTTTAATTTATTGATTTCTGCTCTTCAAATTAAATCTAAATTAAGACTCGCTGAAACCGATGTATCCTCATTATCCACCATGATCAGGTTAACCGTAAATTGGCCAAAACTTGAAACAAATTGTGGTTCTATTGGAAGTGAATTAAATTTAACCAAATTCCACGACTTATTGGTAATCTTGACGATTGCTGGCTCACCGGCTGCAACTCAAATCGTCACTGAATCACTTTTATACGATCCTGCTGGTACTTCAGCCATTCTAAGTCGAGTTGACCATCCATCTGATGAGCTAATACAAAGTCTAATCAAACAATTTCTCAAAACAACAACCACGTCATCAATTCATTCAAAATGGTAAAGGCTCAAAATAGCGAAATTAAAAGAGCGAAAAACAAATAAGTGAAGGTCACAAGCGCGAAAGTCAAAGTAGCGAATTTAAATTAACCAACTTACCATCTAAAAAAATTATTGATTCAGTGAAAAATATGATAAATTGCTAATAATCAACCATTTTGAGCTGATTTTTTAAGGTTTTGAATTTCTTGGTTAATAATAATTTACAATTAAATGTTTTCATCAACTAGAAATTAATTAATCAGGAAAAACTCTGAATTATGGGTTGTACATGATAAGGATCATCTTGAGAAATTTTTTCGCTATCTTTACTCTCGCTCTTTTGATTTCGCTATTGTGACTTTCGCTTATATGTCCTTCGCTCAAATGAGCCCAAATCATTCTAATCTGATGTTGAATATTTTCCGTCTCTTAACTTAATATTTTTGTTTCATTTTCTAAAAAGGGTCAACACGCATCAACATTTAACGATTATTAGATTGGGCACGAAAAGTCATTTAACAAAATTATCGATTAGAATAAAAAAACTTGAAAAGTTCTAAGAATTATTTGATTTCTTCGCTATATTCTACTAGATCTTATTTGTCATTACATTGTTTAATGTCAATTTTCAGTATTGTAAAATTTAAGTTCATATTTCCTATCGTGAACTTTGGGTAAGTAATGAATAATTCTCTAATTAAAGTTCTGTTCAAACTTGGGGAAGGAACGACCAAGGATAAACTCAATCTTATCTTCAGATCTATCTTATCTTAGCCTCACGTCCAGCACCATTGAATACGTGGTTAATATCACGGAAAGAAAGCAAGTGTATCGCAAATATAAATACTTGTTATCGTTTCGCAAACGAATCAACGG